TAACTTTAATCCATCAATCTATTGAGAAAGTCTCCTACATTTGGATCACTTGAACTCATCAAATTCGATGAGTTTGGGAACTAGACAACTCCTGTCATCATACTAACAAGATGGGGCTCTTCTACTGCTGGCGTTTTTATGGCTTATTGAGTAAAAAAAACTTGCTCTTTTACTACGACCATTTTTGTGGCTTGTTGAGTGAAGTGAGTTGTCACTGACTTAGCCATATTTTGGGCTTATTGAGTTTGACCTTTTTGACCCACTTGCGCCATAGATTTAAGGTGGGGTAGAACTTGCATTTTTCCAACTTAACTTGTTAAAGCTTGCAAATCTTGAAGTCGTTTCAGTCGAACCTTCAAATTCTTAGTTAACCAAAGGGAAAAATCATATCACACATTTTATTTGATAGCAAAATTCTTAAGTAAATATTTTGGGATATCAGCATTGAAGCACGATGTCAACCCAAAAGGGATGAGATCTCGATGTTAGACATGATGTCAACCCTTGTAATTGAAGGTCTCATCCAAAAATTTGTTGTCAATCTCAAATGAGGAGCCCATTATCCGATTAAACGCATTTAGGGATCTCGGCATCAGCACTGTATCAACTGCCCAAATAAACTAAAAAAAATGCCCCGTCTTGAGGAAAATTTTATGATCAATTAGAAATGTATTCTTGTGTTACAAGAGAGTTTCTAAAAGTGTTCTCTATAATTTCTTCCAACTTATGTTTTCTTTGAACAACTTGGAGCTTTTGTTGGGCTTCCATAATAACTTGTAAGGGAGAGGGAGGAGCAACTAAAAATTGACTCCTACTAACTTACATTTGATGACCCCTCTTCTAGTGGGGATTGATGATATCAATTACTCGATTCTTCTCAACTTATTGGGGAGTTAGGAATAACCATAATCATATCCTACCAAAATAAATTTGATAACCCCTCCACCTGTCGGGTGTAAGTGCGGACCATCAATTTTTTTTTCTTACTATAATCAATTAAGAAAACTTTAAAATTTATATCACTAAACTTCTCAAACTAGATTAACTTCAGTAAGACCTCTATTATCATTAGATGGAAAAAATAGTTGCTTCTTCACTATGACCTTTTTTATGGCTTGTCAAGTGAAGAGAGTTGTCAGTGACTCAGCCATATTTGAGCTTATTAAGTCTGACCTTCAAGACCTGCTTTTGTCATGTACTTGAGTTATAAACAAACTATTGCTTCTCCAACTTAACCTATTGAAGATTATTAGCTTAAAACTCTCTCATTTTACTTCCTGAATTATGACAAATCTGAGAGTTGAACCTCTGACTTTGGCTTGTCTGTAATTTACTTGAAGATATGCTCATTTTTGCTCAAATTGATAGAGTATAATTTTGGTACCTTTGCGGTACAAAATTCAATTGAGGATCTCACATTCAACACGATGTTAACCCAAATGATAAAATTTAGAATATATTTGAGGATCTCGACTTGAAGCTCAATGTCAACTTAAATAATATAGGAATAAAATATTTGGAAATATCAGTCTAGTGCTCAATGTCAATTCAAATGAAATAAGTGACCCCTACCTTGATAACAAGGAAAGACTAAAGCTAGCTAAATATATTTGAGAATCTCGACTTAATGCTCAATGTCAACTCAAATAAATATATGCAGTCCTTTTATCTTAAGAACGAAGTAAATCGAATGCCATCTTTGGGCCTGATACAAAGCTTGGGTTAGCTTCTTTTGTTGTATACTTCATATTTCATCATACTTATTGAAGAGAAGAATTTCTTTAGTCGTGGCTTAATGCTTGTTCAAACCTATTGAAGAAATTTGCTCCTATCAAAACTAGCTTGATGTCTCCATAAGCAGGGATCATCTCATTTGATTTTTACCTCCACTCTTAGGTCAGGTTAGAAAACTTGATGAAATCAAATTGCTTGACATTGTTAAGTTGGATAAACTTATGGTTTTCTCGTTGTTATACTGACAAACGGGGCTCTTCACTAAAGTATTGGATGGTAGTGAAGAGAAAAGCCAATAACTCGACGTAATATTGGTTGGTTAAGTCTTGCCTCCATCTGAGTCCTGACTCGGGCAATAAATGATCTTATGCTTTGTCGTCGTCAAACTGATAAACAAGGTTTTTCACTACAATATTGACTTGTTGAGTGAAGAGAAAAGCCAACAACTCGGCCACATCTCGGCTTGTAGAGTCTGGCTTCCGTCCAAGTCCTAAACTTGTATAGTCTGGCCTCCGCCGAAGCTTGTAGATTTTCACAGATTTTCTCGCTTGTCATTTTAAATTTTAGCAAGTTTTGAAGTTGAAACTTAGAAATTTAGAATCATCTTATATATTTTGTTTGGAGCTTGTTCTTTTTGGATTGCCAAATGAAAAACACCTTTATCATTGATAACTTGAACATTTTCCTACGGATCTTAACATAAATCGCTATGTCACACGAGCTACTTAGCAATTTAACCATGAGTATGTTATCAACCCAAATGGAGGAAGATCTCGGTATTACGCATGTTGTTGACCCTTTTGTCTTAGGGATCTAGGTCTTGAATTTGATATTTACCTATAAAAAGGATGAGTCTTCTGTTTGATAAAGAAGAGATTTTAGTGTTTGGGGCACTCAATAGTCTCAGCTTTGGACATGATGTTAACTCGAATCCACCTTCGAAATGTTTGTCCCTCGTCCATCAAAAAGGAACTACTTGAGTTTATAATGCATCTAGGGATCTCAGCCATGAGGACAATGTCAACCTAGATGATAGGCTTTTGGCCTAGAGCTTAGTACCACCTAGAATAATTGTCTCCCTTTTTTGACAAAACAGTAATTTCAATACTTAGTAGATATATATAAGGATCTCGAGATGTTAACCCAGATGATGGACTTTTGATTTGGATCTCAATATCATCTCAAATGACTATCCCCCATATATGTAAAAAATATAATTTGAATACTTAGTATGCATATGTGAAAATCTCGTTATTTACTGTGATGTTGATCCGGATGATTGAGAATGCCTCCTATCTTGCAAAACAAATTTTAGCGACGTCTGGGTTCTTTTGGGGATCTTGGCTTAGAGTACAATGTTGACTCAAATAAACTAAAAAAAGTCCCATGTCTTGTAGGAGGAAAGTTCATGATAACTTGAAACCGTGTTTTATCATAACGACTCTTGTGTCTTTTTAGGGATATTGGCTTAGAGCATGTTGTCAACCCAAATAAACTAAAAAAAATGCACTTGCATTGCGGGGTAAACCTCATAATAACTTGAAAATACGTTCTTGTAACATAATGACGCTTGGCTCTTTTTGGGGATCTAGGCTTAGAGCATGATGTCGACCCAAATAAACTAAAAAAATGCTCAGTTTTGCGGGGAGAAATTTTATGATAACTTGAAAATACATTCTTGTATCATAAGAGAATTTCTAATGAAGTATTACACTCATGCTGGAATAGAGCATATATTCTTCTTTTTATGAAGGAAACTTTGATAATAGCTTTGGCTAGAGGCTAACTGATTGATGACGATTATTTAGGTTGAGGAGTTTGGAAGGCTCCTTATGTCTATCCTCGATGACAGAAAGACCTTTTAACCTCCATATTTGCTTACTTTTCTGTCAAGACATGAGGTTCGAATGCGCGACCCAATGTTCAGCAAGCAGAACTTGCCTAGGTTTATAATGAGCTATCATAGCAGATGATTGTCTCTTAGCATGTTCTAAATTAACCCCAATCGCAATGGGTCTTTCATTTTTTCTTTACAAGTCCATTCTCCCTAACAACCCTTAGGAATTTGTGCACTGTAGTAGACAAGGTTTCAAGTCTTTTCTTCTCCTTAATATGAGTAATTGGAAGATTCAAATCTTCATCAAATACAGGAAATATCCTGTGAAAGTCATTGTCTAGATTTGGATCATGCTCAAAGAATTTCACATCCAAATAACATACACAAGCTTGAGAGGAAGCAAAAATTTGATTTGATAATTTATATCATAAGACATGCCGCAAGGGCCTTTTTATAAATAAATAAAGGACAAAATTAGTAGTTTCTCTATTTAACAAAATCCTCCAAGGTTTAGGAAAATAATTGTAAGTTCCAATTTCAATGAACTTGGATTCCTGCAACTCAGTAGGTTCTGAAATCATCCCAAGCAATAATAGGAAGTCATTATGAGTTATTGTGGTGCAAATATGAGATCCACTGGTGAAAGCAAGTATGAAGTGAGGTTATAATTGGAAAGTCATTTTTTAAAAAGGGTAGCCCAATTGCCAACTAAGGCTATAGTAGGAATGAATTAAAGAATGATTGGACGGCTAAAGGACTAAATGATGCAATAGTGGTCAGATAACCGGCAACTATAATCTCCCAATCAAAGGTTTCCAAATTAGTAGTTTGTCATCACAATGACTACATGTGGGGAAATAATGAATAAAAAATAGCTTAGCTTGGGAATCCAAGTGTTTATTCTAAACAACTTGCAACAGTAAATCGAACTTACCAATATAGCCAAAATACTAGAGAACACAACTCATTTTCATGGCACCAACATCATAGAAATATTACATTAAAAAACAAACCTGAGAACATGAAGACAATTACAACAACACTAAAACTCAGAATGTCACTGTTCTCATTCAACCACTCACATCTTGCATTTTTGACAAGTAAAAACCTTTAGATTTTCAGTGGTCGATTTTGTTGTAAGTATAATTTTCCATTTTGCAAATTTTACCAGGTAGTTCATTTGTCATCTTTATATGTGAATCAACATCGCATCTGGATTACTAGAAATGTTCAATTTAATTTGGGCAGTGAGATGTATTACCAAACATCTTTCATCAAATATGTGCTCCTGCTTTTAAAACCTTGAATGCTTTGTAGTTCTGTTTACATTTGAGATTCATCTACTAGTTTAATTGTAAAGGTTTTCTTTGATAAATTATTTTTCATGCTGATATATTTTGTTTTATATGCTCTTTTCTTTGTTATTCAGATGACAAAGCTAGCTATCATTCCTTGCACTGTTCTGTTAGAAACTTTCTTCTTCAGAAAGAATTTTAGGTCAGTATCCTACTTATTGCTGTTGCCGAAATTGTAGGATGAAGATTTTCTCACACTTCTTTAGCCATATTCTTGACCTTTTTGTTAACTATTGGATCAAAGCTGGAACTAGTTTTCACTTCTGTTAGAATTTGAAGTGATTATGCCTTTTTTCAATATATCATTCCCAATCAACATGGGACATTTTTTTGAATAAGAAAGCTTAATCATTTTTGAAATTTTGTCTGATTCTTGGAGGATGATTGAAATATTCTAAAGGTGCATGTGATAGCCAAGGGACTTATATGTTGAGTTTTCGTTTGTTATTCTCAAATGAATCTGGCATCAAGCATTTTTGTATTTCCATTCAAATTTATACTATTAAAATGTGGCATTAAACATATCCTGTTAGACTTAAATAGCTTAATGATAGATTTCCAGAGTCATGCATGCTTTGAAACTTGCTTTATTCATAAAGCTACTATGCTAAACAGGTCTTACATTGCGCTTGTTACTTTTTCTCGTAGAGTATAATGGAAATCCGTAAATGATCTTAATGACATCAAATACTAAACTGTTTTAGCACAGTTCCTTAAATATGAACCAGACATTTTATTCTCTTGCTTTTCTTGGGCATATGATATAAAAGTTGAAATTTTTAGTGTTTGAGGATGCACTATCTTGCAACTGAGGGATTTATCAGCTTTTAACTTGTTCGATTGCATTGCTGTCATGGTTTAGTACGTTCCGTCTAAGTAAAACTGGAGCAAATGTCTCGCTCAAACTACCATATTATTATTCCAATCACTAAACATATTCTCTAGCATCCATCCTTTCCCAACCCTTGTTATTTTTTGTTTGGCGTTTTTAAGATACCGTGAGCTGTTGAATTTTCTCTTTATGCTAATGATGATTTCTTCCGTGTGATATTATTTTCATGTCCTGTTGGTAATATTATGAAGGTTGTGATAACAAATTTGAATTAATCAGACTAAGGAAAGCTTCACCCATCTTAGTAGGTCAAAAGAAAAAAAAATGGTGGCACCAACGATTGAATTCTAAGGCAGTTAAAAATAAAAAGATGATAATATATTGGTACATAGTAAATAATATAATTGCATGTGAAATTTATAAATACAGCCACACAGGCAAAAGGTGCATTGTGCCAAATTTTGTGGTTGAGCATATATTGGAGTCAAATTTGGTATGTTAAATATTTCAAGTGGCATGAGGTTCTAAACTTAGATAAAAGCAATGCACGATGAGGGGCATCAGATACCTTTCACTCGTGTACACTGCTGACCATTCTTTTTAAAATTTATATAAAATTTTACGACTAGACTAGCAGACATCCACTTCCACATTTTTTCTTTTGTATTTTTGTATGATCAAAATTATTTTGAAGTCATAAATTTTTGGCTTGGCGAAATCCCTCATTCATAGAAAGAAGAAATGAATATGATGCGGGATGCGATAGGAGTGCGCGACCGAGGGGAGGCGAGCAAAGGAAGCGAGCGCGAGATTCCACTGTGCGGGATTTCACGAATCACTCGATCCCGCCTATGCGGGAATCGCTAGATTTCGCGACTCACGCGATCTTGCCAGCTCGTAGCGCGGGATTTGTAGTTCAGCGGAAACTTTATTTCCATGATCTTAGGGTAGTTTGACCACGCAATTCTGTCCCTTTTCCCCTTTCCCCTTTTTCTTTATGTTTTCTTTTTTTTTCTAATTAAGGTTTCTTTTAGGCATGAGACTATTTATACATTGTTATTTTCTATTTCTTCCGACTTTTTATTCAAGTCGAGTATTTTAGAGATGTTTCTTCTTGTTCTACGCTAATGGAGTGCTATATCTTTTTTCTTTTGCAAGTTTTGAGTGCAACTTATGCACAGATAGGTGGTGAAGCTCCTCACCACCTTAACATTGCTGCATCAGAGTTTTCTCCTTTGTTTTCAGCTGGCACAACTGCCAATCGATGTCTATCTCCTTCCAAGCATCGTCAAACTTCAATATTTTCATTCCCTCTCTATTCCATAACCACTTTCCCTGCTAAATCTGCTTCCAAAATACCTTTGAGGAGCTCTAAATCGGTAATTTTTAGTAGCAGAGCTAGTCCAACCTCACTTTCATCATAAGGTGATTTAAACACATCAAACCAAAATTCCAAATAACCTATTCTAACAACCCCACAAAAAAAAAATCCCCAAAATCATTCATATCAAAATTCATAGTGCAAGCCCTAAATTTTGAAAATCCATCTTTTCCATTTCCACCAAAATTTCACACCAACACTTTCTACCAAACCCTAAACTCTCAAACAAACTTTTACCTTTTCCTTTTTTCATCAAAACTCCATTAGAAGAATGAGATATGCCACCAAGGAGAAACTCTCAACGAGGCGTTTAGGAAATCATCATAGATGATATGTAGCAGGAAATCCTCCTAATGCAACTGAGGTTTGCCGTCTTTGAGAGGAGACAATCCGCGGACGTCACCTGTAGTCACAATGACGACTTGTCGGGTCAAAGTGGTGAAGTGAATCCCTTGCATAAGCCAATTTCCAGTGAAGAAGAAATAATATCATGAAGATTTGGCGTGAATTATTAGAGGATAAGCCAAAATTTTGGAATGAATATTGATTTGTCATATTTTGATGGTCATATAGATATGGAAGAGTTCATTAAGTGGCTTCAGACAGTGAAATGTGACTTTGAGTACCACGATGTCCTGCCAGACAAAACGCTAAAGCTAGTCGTCACTAAATTAAAGAATGGTTCATCTTTATGGTGGGAGAATTTGAAGCTTCTTCGACATTGAAAGAGGAAAAACAAAATCACTACTTGGTCAAAGATGAAACGAGAGATGTGGTGGAAATACTGACCAGTTCATTATAAAAAGGACATGTTCTCGAGACTTGATCACTTGCAAAAATAAGATGTTTCAGTAAGGGAGTACATACAGTTGAGTTCTAGCAGCTTATATTAAAATGTGGGCTAGTGGAGCATGAGGAGAAAACCATAGCTTAATATGTGAGGGTATGGAACTCATATATTGCCAATGTGGTCTAATTACAACCCTATTGGATATTATATGATGTTCATGCCCTAGCTTCAAAAAGTGGAGAGATAATGTCACCCGGTGATTGCCACATCTTACAGGCAGAGTTCAAATTTAGGATCATACAACAAGAGTTCACCCAACGGAACATTCAAGTCTATCCTACTTGAGGAGAAACTATTTTAGAATGGAGAATAGGTGGAGATTACTAGCATCTCCATATTAATCTCAGTCAGGAAGTGCGCCAAGTGCTACGATTTTGGGCACAAGTGCATCATATTGTCGAAACAAGTGTATGATCTCTTTCATTGAGCTGGAAGCAGTTGAAAAAAAAGATAGTGATGCATGAGAGAATGAAGAAGTCAGAGAGGAGTCTCAACTTCTAATCGACGAGGAAAAGACACTAGTGATTCAAGTTGAGCCCTTGAGAGAGACTCTAACTAAATTAGTATTAGTCATCCTAGAAGATAGTTTGTTTGAGGAATGAATACCAGAGAAGGGGTAGCCCTTTTTGATAGGGTTGCCAGATATCTTATCTGACAGTTTTTCTCTTGTGTGGCTATCGCCGAGTGAGAGTCTACACACAAACTTCATAATTTTATACTATTCCAGACCTTGAGATCTAATGTACATTCTATGATTTCAGATATTGCTGCAGATTTCTTGATTTGCAATTACATAATTTCGTCAGTGCAAATTTGCCAATGCTCCATTGATAGCCCCAGAATTATGATTATTACAATATATTTACTGTTTCATCGCCCCATAAGTTGTGGATGTAAATATGGCTAATATCTTTTTGTGTTTTGTATGCATGTCCCAAGTTTTTTGAATGACATTTTCCTTCTGTGTTATTGCAGTCGAAGCATCAAATTCTCACTAGCTATCCTTCTTTTTGGTGTTGGAATTGCCACTGTGACAGATTTGCAGCTAAATATTCTCGGATCTATCCTGTCACTCCTTGCAATTTTTACAACATGCATCGCTCAAATTGTATCCTATAATTATAGTTTTTCTTAATGTATGCAATCCCGTCACAAAGTATCAACATTAAAACCTGCCATCTGGTTGCACAATTTTGATAGAAATAGCACAGACAATAATTTGGCTTCCATAATTATTTGTGGGATTGTTTGATCGAGGAACGTAATGCATTCTATTTTCTTATATTTCAACCTTTTCGGTGTTTGATTTTAAGCAAAACAAATGTGAAGCAGAACTTTTTAAGAGATTTAAAATATCTCAGAACCTTTATTTTCCTTGCATTGGAAATTCCTTAAATCAATTAATTACCAAATCTTGTGTTTTTTCGCCCCTCGCTACAAGAGAGAGAAGAGAGAGAGAATATTTAAAACTAGCCAACAAATACAAAAAGAAAAAAGTCAATCAGTTTTTTTTTCATCCAGCAAAACAACACCAGCATTTCTAGAATATATGCATTCAGTTATTTTGCATTTTTTAAATGCATTCATTTTGAAAACATCTAACCAAATAGTCCGTGAAGCTTTACTTCCATTTGCAGAATGCAGTATAAATTAAATTAAACAGGACGTGAATCCTATTATTATACGTTTGAACTTTTATGGATCATCATTTGATAGAATGTTACCCTGAAATTAAAAAATAAAGTTGCTCTTATATTGTTGCACCTGAATCGGATAATTTTCTATTGCCAGAGACTAACGCAGGAAATATGTTATAGCTATTTACCCGGATGGATTGAGCCATTCAGGCGTAAAAATTTTCATAATTTATCTGAGATATATTCTGAAAACAATTAGAAAACAATTAGCAAATGAAAAAAAAAAAAAAAAAAAGTTTGTTTTTTCTAAAACCTTAACAAATCCTTTCCAGATGACTAACACAATTCAGAAGAGGTTTAAAGTCTCATCTACACAGCTCTTATATCAATCTTGTCCTTATCAGGCAATAACTTTATTTGTTATTGGTCCTTTCCTCGATGGACTTCTAACTAAACAGAATGTTTTTGCATTCCAGTATACACCTCAAGTTATGGTAGGTGAAACTTTTCATTCCGACAAACATTTATTTTTACTTCTTTATGACAAGTATGCTAATGAAAAGTCAATGTCCTTTTATTTTGCAGGTCTTTATTGTGCTTTCTTGCTTAATATCCGTCTCGGTGAACTTCAGCACTTTTCTTGTGATTGGAAAAACATCCCCCGTCACATATCAAGTTTTGGGTCATCTCAAAACATGCTTAGTTCTAGCATTTGGCTATGTTTTACTACACGATCCATTTAGCTGGAGAAATTTATTGGGAATTTTTGTAGCAGTAGTTGGAATGGTCATGTATTCTTACTATTGCACAGTTGAGAGCCAGCAAAAAGCTAATGAAGTGATTGTCCAGCTGTCACAGGTTTGAAAACTTGCTCCTTCAAATGCTATGTTAATTATAATATGTACCTGTTATCTGCTTATCATTTGAGGAATATTCTGCTCCACTGCATTGTCACCACTTAACTTGGGGCTTGAAATTAATCAGGACAGGAATGGATGATCGGACGATGGGAATACATTCTCTTTTTTTTTTATTTATATCATTAACAGTTAATAGTTACATATTAAATGAAAGAGTTACTAAAAAATTTAATTAAATTAACCAAATAAGAAGTTACTTTTCAAGTTGTTGTCAACATCTTCTATAAACATTAGCCTATCTTCTATTCATCTTATTTAGAAGTTTGAAACCTGAAAAAAATTTTAAAACAACATAATGAGTTATCTAAAAATAACTCAGAAGCAATCATACTTCTAAACTACAGTAATTCAAGGAAAAAATAATAATATATATGCTAGTCTTTCATATGTTATTATATTAAATCTTATAATAATCTAATATACGTATTCATGATATTTACTCAATGTGAATAATCTAAAACTTCTATATGCATTTACTTTTACTGTATTTTTAAGGTTCAATCTTAATTTTACTTTTACTTTTACTTTATATTCTTAACATACACATCTATATGTTTGAGTATCACCTTCAAAATAACCTACACATGCTTAGCGATATTATCTTGTTTGCACCGCAGTTAACGGTCTAAACATTACATATATAAAGTTTACCCTAGAAGTCCTACTCACCGAGTACTTAGATTTGAGTTTCACATTATTGTCTCATCACTATTATTTTCCTTTTCAAACGCAAGTTAAGATATACTGTAACAAAAAAGTGGATCCATGATAGTATGTATTAGAAATTATGGATTTTCATCATGTTTCTCAAGTACCAATGCTGCGTTGTTCTTAAGTGTATCTTCGCTTTGGAAACCTTTTAATGACAATACCATCACTCTCTCTCTTGTAAGAGTAATATTTCTTCCTGAGTGGATTAAGTTTATGTATGTACTTTCTTCATATATTGGCAATTGCTTGTGTGGTGAAGCTATCATTCTCTTTCATAATCCTTCCACTACAATTTGAACTTCTTCTAATTGGAGCATATTTACCTACTCAAAAACGACCCAACAAATCTAGATTGGCCGATCCAAAGGGATATTTTTTTTCGGTCTAGATCACATGGATGATTATTAATGGACAAAATCTCACTAAGATGAAATTTCTAGGAATGCCAAATTTTTTTGGGCCAACATCATAGCTATGAAACTTAGGAATGAAAGAACCTAATGTTCTTGGGTTGAAATAAAAGGCCAAAGATTGACTTTATGTTTCATGACGAGCTTTTATAAAGCCATTCATCGACCCTTAAACAAGAAATTATGCTTATAATTGAGTGTATGAATACTTATTAGCTTTGCAAATTTTAGGTAGAAAGCCTTGGTAGCTACTGTACTCTTTGGTGAAGCTTAGTGGTTGATTCCCTAAGATAGGTGAGTTTTTAGTTATCTTTTCTACTCTCCCTACTGCCAATACATTTTTTTTTACCCCTCCGCATAAGGTTAACCAATCCTAAATTCTTACTTCCCTAAATCTCAAGATACCCCCAACACCTTTATGAATCCCCTACACATTCTCTCAAACCCTTAAATTTCCTCAAGGCCACAATTCCCTATTAACCCTTAAGATATCCTGGCGAATAATTCAATATCAAGAGATAATATTTTGCTACAAGCAACCAGAGTAAAAAATTCATAGCTATTTATTGATCTAAAAAAATTAACCATTAGTTCAATAATATCTTAAACCTTTGATCTGGAGTTTTTCACCCTTTTCTAGTTTTCTCCAAAAAAATAAATCCTTGTAAGCCTAAATTTTTTAGCCTCAAATTTATTCAAATGTTGCATACGCTTTTTCCCCACTATCCAAATATCCGGCCCCCCAACTCCTTAGGATATTAATGAAGTTGCTACTTTATCATCAATATCCTATAAGACCCTACATCACCCCGTCAATGTTTTCTGTTGTTTATCACACTCTCATAGGCTTAGTTCTTTTATCATGAATGAGCGAGTTTTAGTAATGGACGAATCCCATATCGAACCATTTTTGGGGCCCTTTTGGTCCATACTCCCTAAAAAAGTAGTATCTAAGCTGATAACACTTGTGATTAGGGTTGTAAATGAGTTGAGCTTTGGCAAACCCATTATTTGTTCGTGTTCGACTCGTTTAAATTATGTTTTGTTCGTGTTTAGTGTTCAAATAGCTCCTGAATTATTTGTTACATGTACGATTTGATTCAAACTCATTTGTTCTAATTAAGCTTGTGTTTGGCTCAAATTTCAGCTCAAATGTCTAAAATTTCAAAAATTAATTCTTTACTTCTAACATTTTAAATTGACTGAAAATGGAATATATTTCTGCTTCAAAAAAAATCACAAGTCCTTAAGTGAAACTGAAAACTTAAGAGTTCCTCAATTTCTTTTTACTTTTATATAAGATTAATGATGGAGTTTTTCTCAATCTTGACGATGTGGGACAAAAGTCACTAAACTAAATAGAGAGAAAAGTTGGGGCAGGCCATACGAGTAGACTTTTAGGGGCATTTACATGCATGCCACCAAATTCTTTTGTATTTTCATTTTTAACTCCATACCAGCAGCCAAGCGTGGGATTTTTGGGAGAAAATGGGGCATTACATGCATACCCCCCTCCTTATGTATTTACATATCTAACACCTAAATTTTATTTTTTAAAAATCTGATAGGTATTTATATACATACCACCCAATTCTTACGTATTTACATATCTAACATCATTTACATATCTAACATCTAACTACATATCTAACATCTAACTTTTTTTTTTTTTTGACATTTTTATAAACAAAATTTGATATCATTATATTAACTTTTATATATTGTTTTTTTATTATTTAATTAATTCGAATCAAAACGAGCCGAACACCATTGAACAAAAGTTTGTTCGTGTTTGGCTCATTTTTAAATCGAGCTTAAAAAATTTATTAGTGTTCAGCTCATTTGCTCATCGAACGAATCGAGTTGTTCGCAAACAACAAGCTTTTTTGACACCCTAATTGTGATTGAGTTTCATGTGGTTCATGGCCTTCATTGGTCTTGCTACCATGAGTAAATGAGGTTCCAAAATGAGGGAGCCTTATAATTGCTCCACATGGTTAGTTGGTTTAGCTTGTTGTGCATGTAGCAAATTACGTATGACGGTTTGAGGGATAATGACCATTGACATGAGTTCTAATGTGAGGGTGAGATTTCTTAAAGCATATGAGAGTATTTGGTTTAGTCACGCATTGGATAGTTGATATGTTGATGCCCTCTCTCATTGGCACAAGTTTTTACGTTGAATATATGTTTGCCCAACTTTGATTTTCTTTTGCTCCTCAGATCCTACCAACATACATTTGAAAAAGTTAAGTGCATAGTTTGCAAATGATAATAACAAGGAGATTATCTTTTAGGAAGTTTGGGTTTTTTTCTGATGGTTTTCAGGCATCTCTTAATGCTAAGCCTGTGTAAAAGTATTGGATTTAGTCTCATAGCTAAAGAACATACTGGTGCAAAAAATATCATTTAGTTGGCTTTCACTCATAACCTTTTTTATTTAAAAATAAATTTGATCACTGATATATTAGACTAGCTTTCCCACTTAGATCCAAGCTTCGTAAAAAGTGTGGGTTGAAATGTGATTAATTGATTCCTGCAGCTTATGGTACGAATGAATGAGGTTTAAGAGTCCTGATTCAGATAGCTGAACTGCATAGTTGTGAGATTTGCAAGGCTTAAATATTATAAAATATAAATGTGAGAATTTAGTTAACATATATGTAAATACATAGAAATTGTGTGGTGTGTAATGTAAATTTTCTAAAATTAAATCTATCACAAACCTGATTAATTCCTTTAGTTTTCTAATATTCATTTTCTCATCTTTTGTTGATACTTGAAGGCAAAGGAAAGCGAAGCTGATCCTCTGATTGGTGTTGAGAATGGGACAACTTTGGCACCTGATGTTCTCACTTCGAAAGTTCCAGTTTGGAGCTCAGACAAAGATCTAAATGCTTGAGTTTTTTTTTTCCACTTTTTTTCCATTTGCTAATGCAAAGTTCTTTGAATGCATAAACAATTCTTTAGTTGGTTTCTTGAGATGGAATGTGGGACTCATTCATATAAATAATCTTGTTTTGCTCAGAATATAAATAAATATATATTTTTTTTGGTTAAATTATGGCTTTGTATTTTAAGGATTATTGTTATTAAAGTTCTGTTTGGGGCAGTTGTTGATTTTATTTATAATCTGCTGATAAACAGATTATTCTAATAATAAGCTGGCTTGTTGTTTGGGGTAGTTTCTTCAGAATAGCTTATTGGTAGTTATGATTGTATAATGACATTTATGCCCCTGTTTGGTAAAATTGTTTGGGGTAGCTTATTCAAAATAATTTATTGGTAGTACAGAAGCATATAGTGCAGAAGCATAAAATCATCACAGATCAGTTCCAAAAGATGACATACAGTTCTCGCACTCTCGTGAGTACCAAAAAAAATAAAAAAAAGGATAAAGACAAGTACAACTACAATGAGAAATATTAAAATATTCAATTTCAAACTCTGGCTACGTCTGTCCTTAGCTGCACTATCAACCTAAGAAATTATCGGATTTCCATCATTGCTGGCAATGTAACCTGTGGGACTGTCAGCCCATCGGAAGAAACCTGCAACGAGCTGAAACACCCTTGCGACAACCGTAGAACTGTCTCCTAAAGCTATTAGGCTGACGCGACGTGAGCAACGGAGCCGGTAGTCCACAATAAAACAAAACATCTCTGTTTGTCACTGAAATCCTAGAAGTCATGTTAGTATAACTGCGAAAAAAAAAACAAAAAAAATTGAATGTCAGATCTTATAAAAAAAATACACATAAAAATTGATCTATAATGTAGGAAGAAAAGAAAGACTTGTTGGATTAATACCATATATAACATCTGTTATAGACTCCCTCGGAGCAGTCATCTCAATAACACCCTCCGCATCATGAACTTCAAATTCATTAAAGTCATTTTCATCCTCAGGAACTGAAGGCTCGATCATAATTTTTTATGGTTCTTCATAGACATTCAGCTCATCGTTATCAACCATACTAAAGTTTGTATCTGAACGTGAAGGGTGTCGTCGGATGAAGTTATGAAGTGTCATTGTTGTCACCACAATATGCACTTGCTTTTGAAATGGATATAACGACATATCACGTAGGATGACAGATGACATATTTCTTCTTCTACCCCAAACGTTCTTTCAATTACCCCACGTAAAGAGGAGTGACGTTTGTTAAACATTAATTTCCTACCACAAATAGTGTCACTTGCTCGCTCAAAATCAGGAATATGATACCTAGTGTATGGATATGGCTTCAGATAGCCCCTCTGCATAGAGTATCAAGTATCAACCAAATAGTATTTTCCTGTTATGGAAGATATTGTTATTTGCAATAAATACCTATAACTAGGAATTTTATAACTCAAAACATACATGAAGGGGGATGAGGAAAACCCTGCGATCTATCCCTAGTAGTATAGAAGAAAATCTAACAATCATGTGTGCTCCCTTCCCAGCCCGCCATAACATATATGAAACACATGTTGAAGTCACATACCGCCATGACATTTTGAGTAGTTAAACCACTTCAACCAATGTAAGTCACCTTGTCCTGACTGGGTATTTGGGCATCAACGTGAGTACCGTCAATTGCACTTATGTAATTCTGTTTTACAGGTTAGAAAATATTTATATTTTGATATGTACTTAAAGAAAACAATAGTTGCCTTGAAGTAAGGCATGTAACGGGGATCGATTGCGATTTGTCCTGGAGTATTAACAAATGATAGATCCTCTGGTTTGATGAATTTAGCGGCTAAGCTAACAAGTGTATGTATGCCTTTGGAGAAATAACACCTTGTTGTCTCCGATGAATGTTGAAATCTCTCCATAACACCCCTAATTGATTCATTCTGTGACAGAATATATAGTGTTATAGTCAATACCTCCCTTCTCATAGTTCTCGAAGAACCTTGGAGTCCGTGATTCAGGGATAACTCGTGTAGAAGATCCATAAATATCGGTACAGTCATTTGAAATATGTTACTGAACTTAATTGGATGTCTAGAAAGCATCTCACCCACCCACTTATCCCCAACAAAGCTGGAGGTCATTCGGGGTATACGAACACTGCTTGATCAGTAATACTCCAACAATAATATGGCAATTGCTACAGCCCATGTCATTCTCTTACGACGTTCATGTTGTGAATCCATCCTAAAGGAAGAAAGATCTCGGTTAGTTCATCAATTTATAATCAATAGAGCGAGTGAGAAATAAACAATGAGAACACTCAGCCAGTTATAATAAAAAAAATGTAGAGCTCTACTAATATGCATTCAAGAATCAAGTAAAAGTACATTTAAAAAAAAACATAACTCTAAATAATAGCTGAGTACATAACTTTGAAGAGTACATAATACAGTTCTTGAAAACATATAAAAACTCAATCATCCACAATAACACGTAAATATTCGACTCGTAATTCTGGTTCCATCGCCATAAATATGTGCATACATGTTGGATCCTCAAGTTATTTCATACATATTGCATGAAAACGTTTATCCTCTACTACTTCAAGGATGGTAGACAAAGTTCGAAGACAATCGAAGATAGTGCTATCAAGAAGTGAAGCAGGTGGTGGAGCTCCAAAAGCATCTATGAGTCTGTCAAATGAAGTTTTCACAAAATTGTCATTTTCTTTCTTTCTTCTTCCTAGCTTGGGTCTCTTCATCTGTGAGCTTGACTCCCCCATCTTCCTCTGGTTAACACTGTGTATTTCTTCTTCAACTGCCACAGGCTCTGGTGGAAAATCATCGGGTATTCCTGCAAACCCCATCTCACTAGGGCATGCACTAGGGTTGAATGCATGTTTTCTCGTTGCCACAACCCCCTTGAACATTATGTCAAGTTTATCTTCAAGATCCGACTCAATTCTGTTCTGCTTGTATTTTTTTGCTGTCGGCATTGCCTGTAATATTACAATTGTTTAAATTGAAAATATTTGTAATTAACAAAAAAAAATAATGATAATTTTACCTCTAATTTCTTAGCTCACCATTCAGTTGGAGCATTAATGGTCCGTTTGATGGGATCTCAACCCAACCTTGTGGATCCACGTTTCAGCTCCTTCCAAATTTTACACTCCCTCAATTGATCTCATTTATTTTTAAACTTCAGCCTGTCATAATCTCTTACAGTCAGTTCTTTAAATCTTTTAGCTATATTCTGTCAACCTTCCCTGTTGAAATAGGTGGTTGGTCTATTCCCGATCTCAATCTCGGTGATGCAGAGGTTGCAGAAAATATTTGTGACTTCCTTATCCCACATCGCTGACGTACCACCTTCATTTGTCTTAGCCATGGTGGAACTATATGAAGAATTGCATATGCATAAATAAATTCATATTGTTACTCAACATGAATAGGAAAACGAGATAGCAATGCATGTCATCCAAATGAACCAACAAGAGAAGAAATTCAATCATGTTATAGGCATACCATCCAAATGAACCAAGAGTGTAGCAATTTGCTCAAAAAAAAAAGAGAGAGAAGAATTATGTGATTCTGTCAAAGACCTACATCCACAGTAATGCATCAAACATGTTTTTATTATGAAATTGTGTAAGGTTTTATGTCAATGAAAGTACAACCAAGTGAACTATAGTTGTGAAAATAAGCAATAGATATCTTGTACATGAAATGCACCTTCTCATACATATCGTGGAATCCAATTCCACCCGAAGCAACTGTCAAGTGTGACAATAATTTTCTTCATTGTCAACACAAATATGCAACCCGTAGCTCTAAAATATAAGCAATGTGATAAGTGATCAATGCAACCCGTAGCTCTAAACACCAATGCAACCCGTAGCTCTAAAGACCAATATATCCCCAAAAATCATTACATTTAACCAACAAACCAAATAGTCCCCTTTCAATAACAGTGGTTGGATATAGAAATGTATTATTTGGAAAGCTGCACATGGATCAATGTTATTACAATATGGCTCAAATATAAAGAAATTCTTTTTTTTTTTTAAGCATCTCTATAGTAAGCTCCAATATATTTTGATAATGCATTACAATGAAATCCACTAAATATATTTTGATCAACCTTCATAAGCATACCCTCCATGACTGCTATCAACCATTGCTATCAACCAATAACATATGGTTGTGGGCATAGCATCATTAAATTCCATATGCAGCTTTGTAAACAAAATTAAAATCTAATGCATTAATGAATGGAACATCCATGTGCATTAATGAATGGAATATACATGTGCAACTTTAGATTTTAAAACCAAAATAAGAAGAAACTTCAATAAACTCATTCTCGAGAACTGTAGAAAACAAGCATAACTATATATGATTCACTAAATTCAAAATTTTTGAAAAGAACAAGATCAAAAGTAAGAAAATTTCATATCAAATGAAAAAATTCCAGCACTTCAAAAGTTTTTATTTGTTCAATCATTGCAGCTAGGGGAATTCTTCCATTCATGAAATTTATTAATAAATGAAATGTTTTCCTCATTCAAGATGCATAGAAACACAAAATTCACCTCTCTGCATCTGTCCATATCCAAACCTACCAAAAACGAGGTAGCAAGATCTCTCATTTAGGATTTAACATATGGCTCACATTTAGACCAATATCAAAGAATTCAAATAATGTATAAGAATTGAGTGATATGTATGTAAATGCCCCAATATATTTTGTATGTAACTGCATTGGAATTCATATGCAAGTGCAAGTGGTATGCCCCATTATATTTTTTTCAACAGAGCATACGAACAGAGTAGGAATTGAAGTGGTATGTGTGTAAATCACCCATTGTGATTTTTTTCAACAGTGCACAGGAATTAAAGTGGTATGTATGTAAAAATAACACAGATGCATCCAATTTCTCTAATTTCCACATGATCGTTCTTCTCACAATTGATAAGAAAGAATGAAAACTCTGCAATGATTCATTTGTTTTCCTCATACAAGATGCATAGACACACAATTAATCCACATCTCAACTCTCTCATTCTTCTTTTCTAAAATTGCAACCCTAGCCAAAATAAAACAAGTGAGGTATGAAACCAATTGCTTAGCAGTAGTTATTCCAACATTCCCAAGCAAAGAGTAATGTGAGGGTCGAATACATACTTGAATGAGACGAGATATGAGCAGAAGAAAGATCGGGGTGGGCGAGAGTGTGAGGTCAAAAATATACCTTATATATGTGTCGATCTCCGTGAGAGTAAGGAGCATAAGAGAGATTGGGAGGATGAGGGCGAGGGAAAGCAAAGGACACCTCCAGAATTCTTACCCTAACGTGATAAGTATACGCGGGACGCGGCATCCATCCCGCTTCGGCACATATTAAGGATTTCACAAATTACATTTAGGAGCGGCACAAATAATCCTAAGCCAACGTGATATTCAAATACAACGGCGGCGTTTTCAAAACGTTGACGCACTGATTAAGCTGCCCCAAACGGGGCCTAAGAGTTTATAGTTGATTCATACAAATCGATTGAACTCCTTAAATTGAATTTTGATCACTTCCAATAACTTGTGTGTGACAAAACATTAATTTGTTAATTATTCTTAGTGACTGATTTTGTAAATTTCATAATACATAAATTCATCTGCATTTCATTAAAGATGTTCGCTGAAGCGAAATGCATAAAATAGTCTGAAACTAAAGATGGATTGTATTGCACTGATTAGCTTTCCTTTCAATAAACTAATTTTCAAAATGCAACATCACATTTGCTTATACGATACCTGCTACAAATTGATAATCAATTACTCTCAAAATTTAATTTTGCATGTTAAAGCTCAATAAGTAAAGGTTCATGCTATTATACAGTTTGCAAAATATCATACTTTCATGTACCAATACTAAGAATGATGAATTGCATATATTCATCGTTTTATATGTAGAATAACAGTGATTAAAACATCTCATCTCAGTATTTAAACACACACAAAGCAACCACATTAACTAGAGTGGGGTGAAACATTAGGACTGAGAAGATACATCTTGCAGTCATGTGGTTCAACAAAAGCTGCAAGGCTTCCAAAAACATTATCCGCTACATCCTCGTGCTGCAGTAAAAACAAATAACAATGTAATGATATCTATTGACATAAAAGACGATTAATTTTTCTTTTCCATTTATTTTTAACGTTTAGATAGTAGGTAGATTTGGTTCTGATTAAAGTAAAAAAATAGTAAGTGTTAGAGATGTAAATACATAGGAAATGAGTGGTATGTATGTAAATATTGCTCTTTTTTTAAGAACATTCATAATTTTTTTTTTTTTACCTCCCATAGATCCCTTACAGAGAAGCTGGTAGATGTCTCGAGACCAAGAACTTCCCATTTGGCAGTGACTTTGACAGCCTCTGAACAGCGATTCCATAATGCTACAACCGTCCGCTCGCCGGATAACGGTCCAGCCCAAACCTGGAATTTGACGAGTCCAATATCAATCTATAGATAGCATTGAACAAAAAATCCGGTTCAAAATTAATCCAAACCTGGCTGCAGTTATTATTGCCTGTAACTGACACCTTTCTCCCTTGAACACCAAGAGGATCTGTAGAAAATTCAGAAGCTGACTCAGACAACTGAACTTGCTGTAAAAAACAGAAATTAATCTGCACTTTTACGTGAATTGAATAGAAATTGGATGCAAAAAGATTGTTATTTATCCTCCACGTTCATACATATGAGAAGGGATTCAAAGCTATAAGGATGCTCAGGTCCATAATATGAAGAGACCGAAGAAAAGGGAGCATTTACATGCATACCACAAAATTCTTATGTATTGATATATCTAACACCTAAGCATTCATATTTAGATGCATACCACTCAAATTTTTAACATCTTATCAAAAGAACCATCAGCACAATCTTTTTAAAAAGTGAAATACACCATTTCATGAATAGGTTTTATAACAAGGTGTTATAAGTGTAAATATCAAACTTTAGGCGTTAGATCTGTAAATACATAAGAATTGGGTGGAAGGTATGTAAATTTCCCGAAAAAATGATATCTAGCTTGGCAATTCAAAAGACAACTATCACTAACCAAAGGGAAACAACAGTTGAATCACTACAGCATAAAGTTAATTTTGCTAATGAAGATATTTTACAAATAAAGACAAGAAATCTAACTACCTTGGTTCACAGCAATGACCTCCTTATTACTCAAGATTTCCAATGTTTCAGCAGTCATATTTCTTACATCGCAGCCAATCAAAAGAGGAGCCTACAAAAAAGTATGTTTTTGATAAGGCGAAGTAAAGAAACAATAATGGATAAGTTTGTCAGAACCTTTCCAAGGAATCAGAGATGAGAAGACATTCCACAAATTAAAGCTCACAAATCCAGAGCTATAATTCTGTGCCTTTTACATATTGTCCTAATTTCCATCAAACCACAAATATAAACGAGGCTTTGATGGTTGAAAGCATTTTATTGCTCTAATCTTACGTTCTGAAAATCATAAAATGGTGCAGCTAGGGAAAGTTTTGCGAGTGAAGAGAACCAGAATTGGAAGTCGAAGGCAAAATTTAGCCCTTTATCTCACAATTATAAAACTCAACGTGCAAAAATATCTCGAGTAGGCTCAATCCATAAAATTGACAATTGACGGGAGAGGCAAAATTAGGCATTTTACTAGTGAAATTTTGAAGCCGGTTTCTAGCCATCCTAATTTGAAAAAATGGCACTCCAAAAACTCTCTTGTTATGGCTTCTAGGAAGCTGTTTGAGATCCTGCAATCAAAAATCCAAAAACTCCATGGATCCTGCAATCAAAAATCCTCGCTTATTTCTTCTCATTGTTTAAGCTATCTAGGAAGCTGTTTGAGATCTTTATTTAGACCTACAGAATTATTCCCAATTTTTTTAGTTGAAAGCTTAACTTTAAAAATCCAAGCAAAATGACTGATGTTATTATCTATAACAATGAATTGGTACATTACGAAGGGAGCTTGATCACGGGAGCTTGATCAATGTTGCATTGAAGTTTGTGATAATTCAACCAATACTAGCCATAAGGCTAAATTTGGTTGCATTGATCGTGTGGCTGATTGCTATAAATTAATCTCATCCTATAGACTCTGTGCAGATGATAAAATGATGAAAATTGTTGATGGTCCCTCTTGATAATTGTCGGGATAGAAACTGTTAGACTCGCTCTGTTGTTAACTGACGCAGGTGCTGGAGTTTCCCACATGAATAAAAACTAGCCAGCCAGTTCACCTGGTTGACATAGTGGCCCCGTCCATGGGACCCGATCCGGGACTCCAAAGAATCAGCAGCAATAAGGTTGGTGGCACTCACGGCTCCCTTTTGTGTCTCCCGCCAGATTCAAGCAACATTTGGAGAGGGCGGCATTGTCGTCTACCCTCCTCTCCGCCTTCCTTTCACATCAACTTTCCTTTCTTGTTTCCCTCTTAGCCAAGTCTATTTATATTTTTGTTTTTCGAGTTATTAGACATATTTGTTGTGTGTTGATTTCAAATTCCTTTGTGGAGTTGTACTCCCCATTCTAGGGCTGCATCCGAGAAGGTGGTGATGCTCCAGTTGTATCCTCCTCCGAGGTGGTGTTGTATCATTCCCTTTCCACTTCCCTAATCCTTCTCCGCCCCTCTCCTCAGTCGTCGGCCTCCCCCCTCCATTCCTACGCCCAGCCGACCCATACCAATAGCTTTACCTTGCTAGCCATCCCTCCCAGCACTCCCAATCAACTGCTCCTCACTCCACTTCCACTACCCTTGTTGTCTAGCACCTTCCAGCCACCAATCCGCCTACAGTCAGTCACCCGCGACGCTCCATAGTTGTTGTCCTCGTAATTCTGCACTTTCCCCTCACTGCCATCAACACTCCATTGATGCTACCATCATTGGAAACCATCTCGAACCACCTAACCAACCTCCACTGTCCTTGGAATACACCTTAGAGGTTTTTGTCTGTGTCATTTATGTTTTGTGTCATTACTTTTTGTTGTGTGTTATTGTAACCCTCTCTTATATTAATAAAAGTTGTTTTGAGTGTTCTTTGTTTGTCCTACTAGTTTCGGTATCATTAACGCTTCACGCTATGCTTCATGTTCCCAATTTCTCTTGTAACTTATTGCCAATTTGTTAAATTACCTATGGCAATGGGTGAAAAAGGTAATTTCTATTCTTGAACCTAAGTCGAGTTTTATCTTAAGTATAATGATTCTAGTTTTCTCACTGTTGCATGTAAGGGGATGAGGTCTTAAACCCGACAGCATTGCCCTATTATGTGTCACATGAAAATCACACCCATTTTGTGTTTCTATCTTACAATTATTTTGTATGGAGATTTCTAATACTGTGCAAGATGTTCAAATATTTTGTAGAAGGAAGTCATCTGCAAGGAGATAAAAGCCCTTGAAAAATATGACACGTGGGAATTGGTTGATCTACGTAGAAAGAAGACAGCTATAGAGTGCAAATGGGTGTTTGCAGTAAAATATAATTTTAATAGCTCTCTAAAATGGTACAAGACTTGATTGGTTGTCAAGGAATTCACTCGGACCTATGACAATGATTACTTAAGAGACCCTCGCTCATCACAAAAATCAAACCCTATAAGAGTTTTTCTATGAAATGCTACTAATCTTGATTGACCCTAACAAAATTTAGATATAAAAAGTATATTCATCAACTGAGACTAGGAAGAAGTAAACATGAATATACCTACAGGATTTAGTGAAAACTTCGGCACAAGCATAAATTAAGAAAATCCTTATACCGGTTGAAGCAATCACGGAGAGCATGGTTTGAAAATTTAATTTTGTTAAAGGTCAGAGGTATACTCAAGCATAAGAAGATCATACAATGTCTTTTAGACATTCAAAGAATGGGAAGATAGCCATACTAATTGTTTATGTGGACAATATAATTCTTACCGGAGATAACGTATATAAGATGAATTGTTTGAAGACTTCTATCATCAATTTTTTAGATCAAGGGCTTAAAATTTCTCAGGTATTTGATTGGCATGGAGATTGCTAGATCAAAGAAAGAGATTGTTGTTTCCCAATGAAAGAATATTTTTTATTTTCTTAAGGGAACTAAGATGAGTGAGTGTAGGCTTGCAGACACTAATCAATCCCAATAAGAAACAAGGAGATGAGCAAGAAGGTGATCTAATGAATATAACTTGGTATCGAACATTGGTAGAAAAGTTAATATACTTATCACATACACAACCATATATTACCTTTGTTGTGAGTTTGGTAAGTCAATTTATACATTCGATATATGAGAAACACCTTGAAACAATTAATAAGATTCTTAGATACCTAAAAAATATACCAGACAAGGGCTTACGCTTTTGGAAGACCACACAATAGAACATAGAGGCATACAATGATGCAAATTGGGCGAGTTTAATTATTGACAAGAGATCAACCTCCAATATAATATGCTTATGTCTGGAAATATATGGTTATATGGCGAAGCAAGAAGCATAATGTGGATGCGAGTAGTGTTGAGACAAAATATACGACTATGGCTAATGGAATATGTGAGATGTTATGATTGAACAAAATTTTTGAAGAGCCATGAATCCCGATAAACATGCCAATAGAGTTGTACTGTGTGAATTAAGCTGCCATAAAGATTGCAGAAAATTTAGTGTAACATGATGGCAATGACCATGTGAAGATTGAACAAAACTTCATATAAGAGAAGATTAACTGTGGAGCTATTTACATAGCTTTTAACCTGAGTACGTAACAAATAGCAAATATCTTCACCTAAAGGCTTTTCAAGCCTAATTTTGAGCTTTTTGTAAGTAAGTTGGGCATGATAAATAACTATGCTTCAACTTGAAGGGGGTATCAAGTTTTTAGAAATTTCTATTTTTAGTATCTTTTATTTTTAGTATTTTCACTTTTTAGAATTTTATATTATTGGTATATACTGATTTCTATTTCCTTTTTTCTAGCACGGGAATCTCATGGCTTTGCTAATTTGGTTTCCTTCTCCTACTAATTTTCTTATAAACATTTCTTATGAAATTAAAGAAAAATAATTATTTTTTCCGTCTCCCAAAAACTACATGATTAGATATGTGGATTGGCCTAACTAGGGTTGTCAGCAAATAGTGAATTAGATTTTGAGACATCTTACAGCAACTACATATTATGATTTAATATATGCTACAACCAAATATGATTACAGCGTTGTGGGGTTTTGTTGTTTAGATTGTGCTGGTGATTTTAATAGGTCTCAAACTAGGCATGTCTTCAATCTCTCTGAATGTGCAATCAATTGAAAGGCTTATCTTCAACCGATAATTGCTTTATTTACCACCTAAAATTGCTTTTTGTACCATAAAGATAATGTATATAATACTTCTAAAGCTATCAAAAGTTATTTAGTCAAGAGGCTTTATCAAAGTTTGGGTTTGCACCAACACAGTCCAGTAGTTTACTGTGATAATCCAAGTGCCCTTAACTTAGTTGAAGATCAAATATATCATGAGAAAACCAAGAATTTTAATGTTCATTACCACTACATTAGAGAGAAGATTGAAGATGCTGAAGTTTCTATTCAGAAGATCAGCACAGAGCACAATTTTTTTGATGTATTCTGAAGTTAAAGCAATGTCCAAACTTCGTCGGTTCATTGGTTAGATATATCATGAGATCAATTTCCTTTTGATCCTCAAGTGAGAAAGCTTTAAGGATTCGACTAGACTTGGCATTCACTTTACTTCTTAAGATATGAAGAAGTAGATATAAAAAGGAATAGAGGGGTTATATTTAATAGCATCCTTGAACAGGCATGCACCCATATTTCCATGCAAACAAAGGTTGATCACAACACTTTTTAAGAAATCTTGAAGATAAAAGACTTGTAATTTTTGTTTCCACCTCTTTCTCTAATTGAATTTTTGTACTTGGTCCACATAAATCATTTCCCTAAGAGTGCTTAGTTAAAACTTACTGCTCTTTCCTTCCACGTAATCGTACTGATAAGAGTTAATTCAGTTGTAAGTTGTTAGCTGGATTAGATTGCAAGGAGTCAGGAAACTAGTCCTGGTTATCTAATAGTTAATTTTATCATCGTGTGACAGTTGATAAGACCTTAGTCGAAGGTTGCTTAATATTGTGATAAAATTTACTGTTTAATTTCATGGACAATTTTGCAATTTCTAGGAAGAGATGTGCCATAAAGATGAAAGGGGAAAAAATTGAGTGGTCTCATAAATCATTTCTCTCGGAATGCTTACTTAAAACGGACCGTTACTTTCTTCCATGTAATCATATTGCTAAGAGTTAATTCAGTTGTTAGCTGGATTAGATGGCAAGTAGTCAGTAAACTAGGCTTGGTTATCTAATAATCAATTGTATCATGGTGTGACACAGTTGATAAGACCTTATTTGAAGGTTGCTTAATATTGTGATTTAAAATTTACTGTTTGAGTTCATAGACAATTTTGCAATTACTAGGAAGAGGTGTCATAAAGAAAAATGGAAAAAAAACTGAGTGGTCCATCATCCGAATAAAGAGGGCTCCACTGTAGAAGGGAAGCCGAGAATGAACCTGCTAGGTTGAAAAGGCTGCATTTGTTGGGCTTGGTTTGGTCCGCCGTTAATGAATTACAAGCACCGGGGCATATTAGTGCGTGCACAAGAATAAATCAATTATGTTCAGAACATGATACGTCAAAACAAAGCGGGTATCATATGCAATATATAATTCCATCATTTTCAAAACTAAAAGCATTAGGCATGAAAGTGAAGAATAAACAAAGAAATAATAATAATAATAATAATAATAATAATAATATCAGCATATACTAACGGAAAAATTGTATTAGGATGTGCTAGATGAATAACATTTGTTCCACAGTAAAAAAAACAATAAAATTTTTACTTTTTTAATAGATCTTTTGGTTTTTTAAGTTCAATTATGTATTCTATAAATTATATTCTATCTTTCAATACCCTAAAAATTTTTTACCAAGGGAAACGTGCCACTAATCAAACTCATACTGATACGAAATTTGCATAAAAAAATCCTGATAATTTCATTTTCAACCAATTAAAAAAGAACCTTCATCAAAGCCCATATACTGAAATGTGATCGATACTCTGAATAGTTCATCCCACCATTGCCAACTTCTAGCATATCAGGGTCTAACCAAATAAAAAATAAAAATCATTCATCAGAAAATAACAACAAATAATGATGATCATGCATGAAATCCAGGCAAACATTGTAGGAATCACTTCCCAAACATAATTCAATAAAAATATAGAAGCGCTGGCTTACCATTCCAACCACCTGGTCCAGCATATGAAGCCCATTTGTTATTAATGTCAGCAATGGCAGTCATACTAAATAGGTGAAAATTACTAATTGACATATCAAATGAATGAATTACATGATAAATACATGAAACCACAAGAAAAATTCTCACCTATCCCATGTATCAGTTATGTCATCCGTTGTCCGCCAGCTATTACCAACCTCACCAGCCCATAAGGCTGGATCATCAACTCCCCTGCGAGTAAAAAGTATGCAAATACTTGGAAGCCATCAAAGAAAGCTTAAGAACAGGATTATGTGAAGAAAAAATTATTACCACTCACAAATGGAATAGAAAATGGCCCGCCCAGTTGAGTTTAAGGCATCACGCATGGGAGGGTACCTGAAATTGAAAATTGTCGAAGAAAATTAGAAATGAAGAACTTCTCACTACAACACGGATGCTTTAAAAAAGAGATCGCACCGTTTCTCAGGTTTGATCCCCAAGTTGAAACAATTGTCATATTTTATGTAGTCAATGCCCTAGTAAAACGTTAAAGATATAAATTAAAATGTTAGGAAGGAAAAAAGAAAAGCATGAGTGAAGAAACGCTAACATTTATGCATAAGTTCAGCCACTTAGCATCAGGAATCCTTGACTATTCTTACCCAAGACGCAAAAATCTTTGCATCATCTTCTTCATGGAAGAGGGATCCAGGACGAACTTGACATGTAAAAGCCCTGAATTTTCAAGCGCAAATCCAAGAATGTCAGATAGGTTTAATTATACAGAATAGCCTACAAATTTGAAAATCAGCTCAAAAACATCAGTGGCAATGCTTCATTAATTGGTAGTTATTCTTTTTTTCCCCTGTTGATCTACATGATATGTTATTAATGCCATAAGAGTCGGACCCGATCAAGATTAAAGTTAAATACAATTGATCAAAGTCACCTCACATGAAGCTGATTAAAAATGGTCCAACTACCATCAAAGCTACCTAAACTTTATCAATATAAGGTGTCGTAGTAATTAGAAAAAGGAGAGGCGACACAATTGATGCACCTAGATAGAGTCCAAACAGCTTTGACCACCATCCATATGATTTGAAATGGTTCATAAAATGGATTGTGTCAGAACGTCTGGAGAGTCAAAATTACTCAAGAAAGAACCTGGTCAAAACAATCAAGTTGGATGAGAACAGCATACTGCTGGTACGACACGTGCAATTTGGACCAGATTTATTCAAATCACTTATGCTCTCCGTACGCAAAATGAATTGCACGAGCAATCTGGGATGTCAATATTAGCTAAAAATGACATTGCTTGGGCCTCACATGCGAACCGATATCACATATACCTAGACACATAAATGCAAAGAAACAAAAAAAAAACACAAAAATGTTAATGAAAGGTGAAATTGATATTTGGCCCAGTGGGCCCCAAATATCAATTCCCTCATATGGGTTGAAAACTTGGTGTATTTGATTCTGATTCGAAGAGCTCGTGCCATGAGATTTGAACTCCCGACCCGAGAGACTTATGACAGAGGTCACACCAATGAGTTAGGTCTTTCGCACCTATATATATATATATATATATATATATATAAATATATAATATAAACTATTATTATAAAGTTACATTATTAAACTTACCCAGCCACTTTTCCGAACTAATCACTTGAGGTTCTCTCATCCCTCATTTAAAACTAATAAAAATAATAATAATAAAATAATCAGCTTCTTTCTCACACAATAAAACCAAGCAATCCCTCCTTCATTCACAAAAGCTCCCCACTCTACCTATTCCCACTCTCAACACTCAATACATTAAGCCCACACAACAAAAACCTTCATCTTTCGTCCATCTCTCTCCCCTCATCACACACAGCAGTCAACACGACCCCTCCTACACATCCCTCAACTCTCCTCTCTCCCTAATCGCACCAACCAGAATCACATTGCTCTCCTACCTCTCCCTCTCCTCTCGATCTGACTCTCCAGCTCAATTATCTTTCCCTCATCCTCCACAAAGCTCGCCACCCTCTCGTCAACTGCTGACAACCAAGACAGCCGTCAACAATCAACTTTCGACACAGCTTCCAGTAACTCCTCAACCACCCAAAGATCATCCGCCTCTCATCTCCATCACCGTTCGCACAAATCGGCCCTACAATATTTCTTACATTGCTAAGCCCTCAATCTTCTCGTCATTCAGTCTGCTCCTGCATCTCACAATTCCCTCCAGCATGCCTCACTGTCGCTTCTATCCGAGCTGCTTCCCATTTTCAATGCCACCCACAGAACCTTCCTTCTTCCTCTCACAAAAAGAAAGCACGCAACAGCTCTCCTTTCTCTCTCTCAGGCATGCCACTTTCCTGCATCCTCCCCTGCCTGCTTATGCTCAGGCCAAAACTGGCCTCAACTAAACTATCGGCCTGCTTTGGCTTTGGCAGCCACTCAGTCCATTGCTACAACTCTATAATGTATAGCCTACACCTGTCAGCATCTACACCTACGGAAGGCCATCACGCAGGCTCCCATACCTACCGTCTCAAGCACACCTCACTGTCAGCAATCCATTTACAGTAACCTTCATACTCCGCACCAAAGACCTGCTCTCATCCCCTCTTGTTGTCGTTCTTATTATTGTGTAACATGCCTCCAAGGACATAATACATCCCTTCTCCAATTCTTCTTGTCCAACCGAAAATCCACTTCAGTTCCTTCTCAAATCTGATGACATCGACAATCACTTGACAGCCACCTTAATCAATCTTTTTAACTATTCCTCACCTCTCTATAGCCTCCACCAATAGCTATCTTCATTCACCACCAAATCCCCTTTGCAAACAGCCACCACCACCCACGAATCTGTTTCCAAATCTTGTGTTTAACCTCGATAAAACTCAGCATTGTCAATCCTTGTGCTAGATATAAGGAAGAAATGTGAGCCCAGCAAGCTATTAAAATTGAGTACTTATATGCACTTTCTTTAGCGCAGTGAGGACCAAAACAAAACGGGACCACCAAATAAGTACTACTATGCGCTTTTCTTAATCCAACGAGAACTTTTCTTAATCTGAAAAGGAAAGACTGTTATTTTGGGTTTAATTTAACTGGTTCGAAGTCCCACACACACTTTTCTGTGTCTGGTGGGAGACAAAGATGTCCAACTATGGCGCAAACCATCCATACACACCTTTTTTAGCGAGGTGGGTAGGCTTATTTCTGGCTACATACCACCATGTCGGGGGAGGTGATTTCGAAATGCTGCTAGAATTTGGACTAAACAAGAACCTTAGTTTGAACAAAATGGGGCTAAATTAAAATGAAATAAAATCAGATAAACAATACATATAACTATAAGATTACCAAACTAAAATCAAATCTGCAAAAATAAAATAAAAAGGAGCTTTGGAGTGCACTTAAAATAACATATAGGGAACTTACAAATGACTTCAAACCTTGCTTAGCATGTGAACAGAAATTTCCGAATTTGATCAAACACTCGGAATATACAAAAAACTGAACTCATAATTGAATGAAAATGTTTTCTATTTATAGATAAAGAAGTAGTTTTGTAGGGTTCACTTAAATAAAATAAAACGTGCTTTCAAATCCTACACCCAACTAAAGCTGAAAATTTGAAATGACATCTAACCTAGGAATATAAATGAAATCTGATTTAAAATTGCAAGTTAATTTTCCAATTTGCACCTAATTTGCAATCAAATCCGCAACCCAAATGCACAACCGAACATAAGGTGAAATTAATAACTCAAAATAAAATCTTGCACTCATCCTAACGACAAAAATATAGTTGCAAGCATTTAAACTGAGATAATTTCAAAACTTACAGGAATTACGATATTATTTCTTTAATTTAAATGTACCACATCAAAATTTGTGCAAAAAAGTTTAAGTGCATGCATCCAACTTGAAAGCACGTGTGCACATCACAAGGCAATCTTTCAATACATTAAAACTCATCTAACTAAATTGTGCTATTGCAACGAATTCATTGAAGTGCAATGAGATGCGCGCACACTAATAATTAAGACTCCTATGTGCTCTGACTAGTGGCTGAATATTTAAATAAGTAGTCTGAAAATACTATACAACTTAAATATAAGCTTAAAATAAAATATAATTTAACCCAAATAGCACGCAAGCGCTCCAAGTTTTACCACATATCTCTTTCCAAATTTAATAAAAAATACTAAGTTATTTAAGCTTTTGAGTAGATCGCTCTACCTGTAGAGCGTGATCATATATTCCACTTTAGCTAGTCTTATCCTCCTTATTAGGATTGGAGTTGAGAGCACTGAGTTTGCATCTGAGCTAGTATGGTCCTCCTAACAAGGACCAAAGTAAATAAGACTATGCTTACACTTGGTAGTCCAATGCTCCTGATATGACTAGAATTGTCACGGTCAGACCTAGGGACTAAGATTTATCAAGAGGGGAATAAACGATCGAACATGAAAAAAAAAATTAATTTCCATCCCCAAATCTAATAGTAGAGAAAGTGTCATTGAAGAAAATAATTAAATTAATACAGTTATGAATTTACCTTCATCTTTGCGAACCTCATTTTCAATACATGCTTTCACATATTTTACTCACTTTTACTCTATATTTAAACCAGAAAATATTAATTTAAAATACAATGAATACACATACTCTTAAACTACAGTAACATAATAGATAAAGAAACAATTAAATGATGGTCATACAAAATAAATCAATATAAAATAATTGAGATTTTACTAATCAGATATGTTCATTGAAGAGGGTTCGTATCATCTTATTATTAAATATATATAATCTTATCTTCTATATATATATATATATATATATCATCATGATATACACAACTTATTAAAAATGAAAATATATATATATTGGTTGGGGATTGGCAGATTGGTCATTTTGACGGAAGGCGTGTTACGATACAGCTGAGCACAGAAGATGATTACACGATGATTTTCTCAAACTGGGGTTTGGCAAGTGGGGTTTTTTGACGGAAGACATGTTATGATACAGTTGAGCTAGAAGAAGATTACACAAGGATTTTCTCAAAGAACTTCATCACAATCGAGGGCAATCATATGAAATTGCTCAAATGGACCTCTGATTTTGATCCCAGTCAAGCACCCCCAATTGCGCTTATATGGTTCTCATTACCTGAACTCAAGATTCAATTCGTTGATCTACCTATCTTATATGCAATTAGAATTATCCTTGAAAAACTTTTGCAAGTAAACACACCGACAGTTCATTTCTCAAAGCTCTCTATTGCAAGGATTTTGATTGAAATGAATATTACACTACCAGATGTTGAAGAAGTTTGGCTTGGCTCTGCTAATGATGGTTATTGGCAAAAAATTATTATGTAACAAAAACTCTACTACTGCAAGCACTGTAAGATGTTTGGATACCCGCAAGAGAAATATTTCAAATTGCACCCACAGTTGAGAACAAATAGTCAAAAGCACGAACATGTCGTTAGTGCACCTCATGTGTCTGAATGCGCTCCCAACAAACCTGATGATAGCCAACCTTAGGAGGGAATCACCACAAGACAGGAGTTGGTGTCTGCCCCTGGGATCCCTTCTCCTGACCATACTACAACGGATAATGTTTAAACTGAAAATTAGGATAGTCCAGCAGCTCCTATTCAAGAAGCATCATGTGCAGAGGTAACAATTCACACTTCACATACAATGGAACCTATCGCGGTGGCAACGACCGTCTTTCCTCCTACTACAGTTCTAACATCAAATCAGATCGAGGATCACATGAGTCAGTCTTCAGATGAAAAATGACAGGTTTACACTTCTCAACGAAAGAAGAAGACTGGGGGCACACTCCAACTTGGAAACTTAATGAATGATACTTTGGTGACTCCTGCAATGGCACGACTCTTCAAAGTTTATTATCTGGTTCCGCTCCTAAAACTAGAAGAAGAGGCAGGACTAAAGTGACTCGTCCCTAGCTACTTGTTTTCTGCATGTTTTAAATTTGTTTTACATTTTATTGAGTATATTCATATCTTTTTGTTGGGGTATTACTGTACTTGTATCGTATGGGTAGGGTGCCGCTTTTGGGCTCTTCTCATACAAACTTTATGTATCGTTTTCTATTTCAATAAAATCAGTCGTTGGGCTTTTCATAAAAAAATATATCTTATAGTTTGCAATCATCACAAGAGCACATCTAAAATTTATATCAATTAAGATACTTCAATATCATAATATCATTTCAATTACATGCACAAATATTTTATCATCTCTAGATAGTACTATAAGAGAGTGAACTTCATCAAATTCAACATGCACAGTGTAAACAAGTTATATAATTCATTTTATTCTCACATCTATATTAATGAATAAATGTTTATAATGTTATTCAGTATGAAATAAATGAATATACTTATATAACTTCATTTTATTCTCACATCTATATTAATGAATAAATGTTTATAATGTTATTCAGTATGAAATAAATGAATATACTTAAAGATCTGTAGCATGTATTTCAAATATGACCAATAAAATTTATGGAGCAATTAAATCATAAAAAAATTGTAGCATCCATCTACATAAGCAATTGACGAGAAGCTTGAGATTAAGCTATAAATTTAAAATTGGTATCAATAATCTTTTTCCAAAATTAAAGAATTAAAATATTCCTTAATTGAAATTTGGAATATTATACTACAAAAGAGAATAACTAAATTAAAATTATATGATTGATGAGTAAACAATTAAACGATATATATTTGAGAATTAAAATTATTTTAGGCATATTGACATAAGTAATTTAAGAATAATTATATTAAAAAATATTAATATAAATAATGTTTTGATATTAGGTATTAATAATAATTTAATCCTAGCATATTATTTTTGCACTTTGATTTATCTATTTACTTTTTTGTAAAAAAACAATGCAATCCTAAGGCAAGTTCTACCATGAATTTCAAAAAGTCTAACTTTAGATATTGAATTACTTAAGGACAAATAATGTTTAAGTTTAGAGGAATTTAATGTGTATAAAATTTATTGATTTATCGGGCCAATTGTTTGATAGAAAAGTATCGCTTAGACTAAAGGAAAATTTTATAAGATGGTGGTGAGATCTGCAATGGTTTATGGCGCAGATTATTAGCCTTCAAAAGAGACGATAAAACAAAGTTAAGTGTTGTTGAGATGAGAATACTTAGGCAGATTAGTGACTTGACACTTAGAAACAAAATGCAAAAAAAAACTATCCGTGAAAGGGTTAGTGTAGCTCCAGTTGCAAACAGGATTAGAGAGAGTCATCTTAGATGATTTGGTCACATTAAATGTTGAACCATCTGACGACCCGGTTAGAACAGTGGATGTTTTAGATTCAACTTATGTTAAGAAAGACAGAGGTATACCTGAAAAGACTTGGCCATATTGTACAAAAAATGATCTTAATCTATTAGAATTAAATGAAAATATGAAACTCAATCGGATTAAATGGAGAAAAAGGATTCATGTAGTCGACCACACTTATTGGGATAAAGAGTTGTTGTTGTTATTATTGGATAAAATTTATTGATGTAATCATGTGTTTTTTATACCATTTATGCATCATTTTTACACTTTTCTGGGATATATGTAGTGTTATTTGCAGTGTACATTAAAATTCATAAATCGGAACATATGGAGCACAAAATGGGTTCAATCAACATGAAAGCGCCTGACGTTCATGGCTAGCGCCTCAGCGCTTAAAGTAGGGTCTATAGTTGTAAAATCCAGAGAAGACAACATTCTAATGCTCCAAACTAAGTGCCCTAGCACCATAGCATAGTGCCTCGACACCATCCAGATGAGCGCCCAAGCGGCTGATGCAACCAATTCCAGTAAAACATACAGAGCACATGACACTCCAACGCTGCAAGAACCCCACGCCCAGTGCTAGCACCATCGCGCTACAAGTGCCAACTTTTCGTGCTCAAAGCCCAAACGGACGATTTTGAGTCACAAAATCCAACATCGTTGGGCCTCCCACTAATTTAAGGTGGTTTTGGCGATTTCTTCTACGGTTCGACTGGAGGAAGGCTTAAAATCTCTCCTACGCTCTTGGGTATGAGGGAGATGCACACACGGGGGTTGACACTCGTGGACACACAACACTCTTGGAGTTCCTTGTTATAGAGAGTAAATGGAGTGTGTGAGAGTCGTTATTTCATTAATACAAGGGTAAATATATGTGTCATTTCATTGTAAAATGAAGATCATTGTGGAGCAAAAGGAGAAGCACATCGGATTTTATCATTTCTTCAACTATGTAAACTTTCTATTTCTTTCATTGAAATTTAATGTGTTCTCTTCACACTAATCTTTTCGCTCCCTTGAATTAAAATTCTTTAAAATCTAGAAAAATCCATGTTATTATTTTGAACTTTGAATCAAGAAGTTTTAATACTCCAAACTTAATTTAGATCCAAACTAACAATTTAGATAGTTAAAACTAGTTGTCGAAAGAAGACTAGAAGCATAATTAGGTTAACACACATGAGTTTAGTGGAATAGGAATATTTTCAATAAATTCTTGCAATATTTTTTAGGAAAGTGAATGCCTGTGAATTCTTACATAATTATGAGAAGCTAACTAAAATATGGGATTCCAACACTTTTATATCTCGAAAAAGAGCAAGGAGTAATAGGCCCAATTGACAACTATAGTGGGAGAATCATTTGGAGACATTTAGAAATCATTGAACAAATTCAAGGAAGACATTCACACCATTTATAAAACTCTTCTCATTTATTTTAGTTTTTCACTTTTGACTTTAGGATTTTAGACACTTTAACAACACAAAAATATTCATCATTTTGAATATGATTATTAAGCTATTAATTTGATAGTTTAAGAATTTAATCCATTTCTCGTAAGATCGACACACAGACTCATAATTCATATACTATTTGATCGACACGTATACTTGCATGATAACAAGTGATTGATTGCAATATGGATCATTTAGCTAGTGAGCTCCAAAAATGAAATGGTTACATCCATATTACTTTGACCATGTGATTTGTCTAGTAGTCTCCACTATATTACGGTCACGTCTATAGTCTGTATATTTCTAAATGTTTATCAGTTACTTTGAGTTATGAACCATAGGGTATATCTAATAGGACACTAAGCCCTCTATTAGCTAAAATTCACTTGTATTAGCCTCCTTAAACAACATCTACCTCAAATTTACGAGATCTCCTTAGACATAAGCCCCATGGCTACTACTAATGATCATTCTATCATGTTGGATCGACTGCCTCCTCTAGATCAGAGATTGATAACTCGAGTGGCAGAACTATGGGATCTAGATTAAGTTCATAACACACACTCACACTATCCATTCTAAGCTTACAATGACAGTTGAATCTTAAATTTGTCGTTATAATATGATGAACAATCATGACTTTAATGACTAGCCTTAATTGAAAGTGTTCTCTTCTTATTATTGAGAGAAGAGATTGACCATAGGGACTTGCGCCTATGGGAAACCTCAAACCTCAAATCTTAAAGTCTTCGCAAAATGAGGGTTCAAATCTCTGGGTAGTGTCATATCTACTGTCTTATCTATCTTCTAAAAATTTAAACTAGAATCACAACATAAAACTCTCTCATTCATCATTTCGAGGGTGGCTGGGCCCAAATTTTTGGAGCCCACATCCTTCTTTAATGCTCTTTTAAATAATCAGGCCAGCTTTGTCAATGATATAGCAAGTGCCCTACCCATGTAGGACTTGTCAAAAGAAAATAACTAAGCTTGAGGCCTTACCCAGCATCAGAATAAATACCAAGCTTGAGGCCCTTCTCATGTACATAATCTGCGAGAACCTTAATGCCAGAAGGAAAAGTCTTCTTGTCAGGAACCAGCTGACCCTGTACAATAATTAAAAAATACAAAAAAAAAAAATCAAATGTTTTCTGGGACTTCCAAATTGGTAGGATGTGATGATGATTACTTAAAAATGCATGCCAATGAAAAGCAATTATGAGAGTATGGAAGAATGTTCATTTCAAGAAAATCAGAAAGATGCTTTTGTTTTTTGGGATCAAATCATCAAAACTTGTTCATTAATTCCTCCGTGAGTTATGGTATTAGATGGAATCTATGAAACGTGAACAAGATATGCTGTCAAAGCAACTGACATCATACACATGAAGAGATAATCATGTTTTGAAAAGGTATATCAATATGGAAAATAGGCCGCATATGAGTTTGTGACAGTGTTAATGGCAAAATCATATCTAATAAAATCCATAATCTAAATTATAAAACATGAGTTCAAAACAACTACAATAAATAAAAACACTCGGCACACATTATATTGGTTGGAAAAAAGTTTAAGAAAAATAATATGTACTAATTGCCTTGTAAATGGTACATTATAACTCAACAAATCGCATTTTTCCATACAGGGAGATAATACTATACTAACCATCTAAATAAGCTACACACGTATTTCCCTAGGAAAGCATTAAACCATATTATTTAGTGTACGTAGTGGGATTAAGGCTTTGTTGTTGTTGTTGTTGTTGTGACAAAATATCTATTTAGAAAGGTATCTGTTAATATAACATATGAATAGAGCACCTTTTAGAATAATCCATGTTCCAAAGGATAATTCTTCACATATTAAATGAAGAAGATCGGTTTATATGGACACCTAATAATCCACATATCCTTGACAGAGTAATCAATTAGCACTACGTAACATATTTGCTCATATTTTTTAACTAGATGAATGTCAAATAACAAAACATAAGCGATAAAGTTCAATCAGGAACGAAAATTTATGACATGAAGCACCCAAGTTATCAAACACGATTTAAATGAACCATACAGATTCAACAATCCTTGCTAAGAGTTTGGTTTGTGATGACACAATTTTTTAGCTACTATGAAGCCCACATAGGAGTCCAGGCCTTCTAGTCAGGCTTGGCCTGCTTCATTTCCTCTTTCAAAAAGAAAACACCATCCTCATATAGAACAATAGTTCAACTCCCAAACTGAATGCAGTTCCCAAGAAAAGGAAAAGTAGCAGCAGCACAAACTTATTTATTTATTTTTCTTCATAACTTAAACCTACGCAATAAACTCGTAATAAAGAGTGATAGAGGGACAGAACGGACCTTTAAATTGCGCAACAGAGAAGACCAACAATCATCTGTCAGGACAGATTTATTTAAATATCAAAAAGAGAGGCATATGAATCCATTTCAACAAATAAAAAAAATATCTACTGCAGAACATACCTATATTAACATACTTGTAGCCTAAATCAGCCAGGCCGGTTGAGATCAGAGCATCAGCTGCCCATACAAAATGAAGAACATCAACACCACGGCCATTAAAGGAGTGACAAGAATTTCCTTTCAAATAGAAATTAGCTATAGAACATGAAAACAAGCATTTTCCCAGACAATCTGAAACATGAGATAAGGCATGGCAGCTGTCCCTGGAAGGGTGTGAACAGAGGTGCGCCCCCACTCCGGACTACTAGGCTGCACATAGCCACAGAAGCCCAGAAACAATGCATGGCTGCACAGGCTTCCACAGAATGCCGGAACCTCTGCATTGTTGGAGAATGCCCTCCTGGTATCAGACCTTATACTGCCATTCCCAATATAGGCTGTCGAGTATGACTGTGAGTGATGCACATGGATGTTTTTGTATTTCTTCTTGTAGTATGTTTGCATGGATTTGTTGAGCTCGGTGAATCTCACTTGTACCACTTTTTCGTAGTAATCTGGTTGTAAGTATAAGATGATTTGGACCAAGCTTTAAATAGTTAAATTGGACAGAGTTTTGATATCGCAGACAATAGGGAAGTTTTGCTAAAAAAGAGTGGCCCTCAATCTCCCTAGAATAGCGTATGATAATCCAAAAGGATTTTATGTGGCTTGGACCTCTCCTAAATAAATTCATACAGCCAGAACTAATCATGTAGAGCTTTTTGTGACCTGGTCCTTCTGTTGATAGTTTTGTGTAACACTCGTCAGGAGGGATTTTTGCTATTTGTATACCTTGTTTGATTTGATTCTAAACTAACTGATAAAATCAAACCAAATAAAGCTGATTCATCAAACTTGAAACCAAAACCAGAACAAAACTGGCATAACCAATGCAACAACTTTTTGTTTTGTTTTTTGTTTGATCTTTGGTTTACAAGCATAAATATTCGGCAATCAATATTTTTTTCAATTTGATTCTTCGTGAGGAGAGGGCGCCACAAACATGACAATTAGGTGAGGATGGAGAGAACTTTTGCTTCGCACGAAGACTATGGGTTTTGATAGAGAAGCCGAAAGCAACAGTGTTGCTGGTGGGCAACTACATGGCATAGATATCAAGAAAACAATCTTTGAAAAATTGGAAGTGTCTGAATTAAGATGGATTGTATGACTAGTGCGTGCAACGGAGACTTATTAAGGGGAACTAGTCACCCAGCAATCGAGAGCCACTAACCTCATTAATTGCCACCATATCGTCACCTATATGTACTCTCACAAAACCAATTCAATGCTGCAGAGCATATCCTCATAGCTCATTCAATTCTGCTATCTATGGGATTGCAATTTTATTATCATCTTTTTCTAACTCAAAACTCAATAAACTACCTTCCGCAGCATATGATGCATCAACAATCTCCTCATTCAATTGGATTATTATTGAGTAATGTTTGCCAAAATCAGTACTAGTCAGGGTGCTAAGTTACATCCTGAAATACTCGCCTCATTTTCATTACCACTTGTACATATTTGTCTGAACATACGAATGTATCATTAACGCAAATCAGCAAAATATGCGGCCAAAAGATATCCAATTGAATACAAGTTACTTGTGCAAAATTTGTAGCATTGAGAAGACAGAAGGATCATCCTCCAGTGTTGTCCTACACAATATATTCTTGGATCAGCATAATGGAACCTTATTGTGTTACATCAGTCAATGTTGATGTAGGCACAACCTCATTAATATAGCTTCGAGTAGGCACTATCTCAACATACAATATAAAAGCATGCAACTGAGTTTCTGATAACACAAATTCACAAATTTCATCATTAATAACGTGCGCAGCCATAAATCCACTATTAATTAGATAACGACAAATTATATTCACAGCATTGTTATCCATACAAAAGTTCAATATGAAAAGAATTTATTATTTTAGATCGAGTGGTTTGCAGTTGATGGGCACTAATAATGATTCGTTGTTGCCACACCTATTCTACAGTATGAGGTCCTCTTAAACTGTAAGTTCGACACTGTATTGTAGCATCAATAAAGCATCCTAAATCATCATTATAGATATTTTAAGTTAATATAATAATTTAATATAAGGGAAATTCTCCAACATTCACTATAGTTTGAGTAAGTCTAAGCATTCTACTTTGTAGTTATAGAAAATAAATGTTTCCAACGGAAAAGATATCTTGATTTTACTTGTCTAACGAGGATAATATCCGAACATTATAAAAAAAGTATGATTTGGCATATGTGTTGACCTCATTTTTAGTGAGGTCTAATCTTTCTCTTAGGATTTAGGATCTAGCCTTAGGGACCTCCCTTCGACTATCTTAGAACCTTAAAAATGGGACCCGCCTTGTTCTAGAAATTCAACCCGCTTCCGTCCCCTTCTAGAGTTTCGCGTGTGTGGTATCAACTTCTAGCACTTAGAAGGATGAAACCAACATGAGGAAACCCAAAAGGGATTCCCTATAGGACCTTCCTGAGCCTTAGGGTGGCCTTTTGCACAATTCGCACTCCAGCGCACAAAACTTCGCAATTCGGAGAGTTGACACGTCTGATCGCCACAATTCGCATCGCTTGCACTGTTACCCGTCGAAGACTCGAATAAACCTTTTGGGACGATCGATCGCGAGTCGAAATTTAATGAAATTTGAATTTCGACGCGTTTTTGACCCGATTGTCGACGACGTCGTCCGAGCGATCTCGGATGACGAAACGGAATGG